ACAGTCGCGGCGAGGTACTTCGGCTTCGACGTGTTGTAAACGCATTTGCATCTTTGTGGCAACCGTGAAAAGCTCTTTCTAAATTCTCGGCACGCTGTCTAAATTCTTCTTTTTTAGCAGTGAATAAACTAGCCTATTTTTTTAGTCGTTTCGCAAAGGAAAGAGTTTTTAAAATACAGTTTAACAAAAAAAAAAAACAGAAATCCAAGGAAAAAAATGATCATTTCTTGTAGTTTTTCTGACGTTGAATATATTGATTGAATATTTTTTCGACATTCGAAGCAATTTTATTTTGTCAATACACTAATGCAAGTATATTGCTAGAATTTTAAATTCACGAAAGAAATTTGAAAATTAAAATTAATAAGATTTTTGTGATTATCATATATTTTTTAACATTAAATTTGTATATTCAATAATTTTAAATTTTTTAATAATTGAAATAATTTATTTCGCCATGTTATTTTCATATCAGATAATTAGTGCTAAAAAAAATCTTTGCCTGAATTTGATTAGATAGTATTCGATAGATTGTGTTTTTAAATTTTTATGACTTTTTGAAGACCGATATCAATTTCAAAAAGAGAATAATTATGTTCTTTAATCGTAAATTTAGTAAAAATTTATTTGCCGTTTTTTTTTTGTTAAACTACACAGTTTGGCAACTTAATCAGGTTAATATTTAGATGTTCATCAACAGTTTAATTCCTCAGGGGAGTAACCGCGTGGATGTCATGTATTACTAATCCTGACGTTCCGACCGTTTATATTAGATGGGTTTTGTGCGTGTCAATTGGACCGCAGTACGATGCTTGCTCGCGTGCTCGTATTTAGGGAATTCGATGTCCGCTCCTATTGTAAGCTATTTTCTCTCTTGCCCTCGGCATCTGCGCAAGCCACACGATAAATGATGCGCTGCATCATAAAAACAGGAGGGGAATACGTGTATCTGTGTGTTTGTGTGTTCCGATGTTCTAAATAGTACTAATACTACTGTATCGGCGCCTGTCTGCCGAGCTTTCTCCTCTTTCATCGGATCGTAAATATCACCTGAACATTTGTATTAATTACACTTGATTACAAAAGCATCCCTTTAAGTGGTATCCCGACACAAATCGCACACATGCTATTAATTCTTGTAGAGGAAAATAAAGCTCTCGTTATATTCCTTGTCATGTATTACGAAATGCATAATTAAGAATGCAAGGCTGTAGCGCGCTTTCATTAGCAAAGATCATTCAAATCATCAATCTCGCACGTAGAACGTTTAATATCCCTGCAATTAAAATTGCCTTTACTGGATTTAATAGCATTTAAAGAGCTGGGATTGAGAATCATAGGCGCGCTTCTCTCACACATTTAAACGACACATATAGAGTGACCTAGATTTATCATGTGTTCGATCATAAATTTTTTCATAATTTTTAAACTGATTTCCTTCGGAGTGATTTAATAGGCGAATTTTTTGTATAATTGTAATACTTAAATCTGTGAGACTAAATATCTGTTAATACAATTATCTGAAATCGAATAAGATTCACAATGTTTCGTTAGTATTCACAAAAATCATATAAATATTAATTTATTCCATAATTATAATTTTCATTAAATTTTTTCTATAGGAGAATTAGTTTGAAATACACAAAAACGAAGTTATTTTAATTGAATAATTAATTTTATATATTGAGAAAACAATGTATATATAAACATGTATATACGTGAAGCATTGAAATCTTTTTTCCGTCATGTTATTGGAAAAATAATCCAAATTGATGGCAAGTACTCGGAGCATCGGTCATGTGAGTAGCGTAATAAATTGTGTGCCTCGATTTCTCATTCCGGTAACCGAATGATTGTGTACGTTTTACAATTTCGTTTCTGATTGAAAAATGTGCGACATTAGTCAAGCAGAGATATCATGTATGCGATTCTTTCTCGACTCCAATTTACGGATCGATTGATAATGCGAATTGCGATTGTGTGAAGAATAAACAGTATGCGTAAACCTGCGCTTAATTTCCACATGTGCGAACAAAATATATAACTCAATCGCATCTCTTACAATTACATTTTTATTCAACAAATCATTCATAAGATAAGGAAGTTGTAATATTGGAAATAATTTGCATAAAACGGATATAATGTATGTTTCGAGATTAATTAACGTATAGTATGGAAACTATATAAGGAGCATATAATAATATAATAGAATGTATTTACTTATATAACACAAAGAGTAGTCATGATAGATTTCTGTCTTGTTCGTCTTTACGCAAACCTATTTCGCATTTTCTTACAGTGACAAACGTAATTAAACTTTTCAACTGTCTTAACGTGCGCATTCTAACTTCGAATTGGTATTCGTAGTGATTTAAGGTAATTCGGATTTGTTTACAGTAGTTAGAAGAGAAGAGCTAGCGCATGCAAACAGCAAATTAACTCTCTGTAAATTGGAAAATCATTGTTGCAAATATTTGTTGCATATTTCACCACATTAGCAGTAAATAGCACATTAAAAGTACATAGTATGAAGAGAGAGAGAGAAAGAGAAAGAGAGTATAAATGAAGAATGAAAAATATATGATATTCAAATATATTGAAATATTGAATGACTGATTCATTTTTTGTAAAAAAATTTTTATATATGAATATTACATTATATTATTCTTATAAACATAATAAAAAATAATTTCTATTTTTTTCTTCTTTACTAAATAAATATTGAAAAAAGAGTTAATATGTGCAGCTTTCTGCACCAAAAAATTGTCACTTTTATTTATTTTACTTTGTTTATATAACAAAATGTTCTACTTTCCCATCTGACAGAGGATAATAATGAAATCTCATCTGTGGATTATGACATACACGTGGCGTATTAATTTAAATTATATTAATTAAATGCATTATCCTAATGAATGATAGTTTGAGCAAAGTTCGTTTATGTTCTGAACAGTTAAACTTTATACGTATTCAATGTTCATACTTGCATATTATAATTTAACTTGCATATTTTAATTTTCTCACTTAATAATTTTTACGATTGTTCGTCTAGAGATATTTATCTCCTTTTATAATATATCTTTTATTTCTCATGCAATGTAACGAAAGTTTTTTCAATAATCTTTAGAAAAACCTTCAGTAATATTTATTTGCGTAATTCTTTTTTCTCTCTGCTAACGATTAGTAGCGAGCACGAGCGAGCCTAGCGTGTATTTTATCTTGAGTATCTCTGCTCATCGTCACGATATAAATTGCGATATAAAATTTATCTTGTGTCCTTTCTTGCGTGTTTTATCGTGTCGTTTGAAAAATTCATAGGAGGACAAAAAGCAGTCTCGTCTTTTCGAGAAAGAGAAACGAGAATGAGGGAGCAACAATAATCGAATTTAAGTCCGTTGTGAGGCATTAACCCACACCTGCGTTTACCTCGAAAGATCTATTATGGTAAATTCGTTGACTCGTCGCGTTGTTTCGTTGTTCTGTCGCGCTATTACGCACAAACCGCTCGTTAAACTTGTTAAACTTTGTTTCTTTATAGGAGAGATTTGTAAAAATTAGCGGCAACCGGCATCGTCGAGTACGAGGGTGGCGAAAGTATCTCGCTCAAAACTTTTCTTCGGCTTTTTTTAGAGGTTGTTACGCGACCAGATAACACGAGGCTTGTCGCACAAGCAACGGTGAAGTGTCGGTGGAGGAATAAAAAGAATCTGGTGTCGAGAAATGATGTTTTACTAGTGCGCATCTTTCTTCGTGTCACTTCGTTCGTACGAAGAACGGTAGTGAGAGACTGCAAAGATTTCCTTTTACGAGTACTTCTTCTTCGAAAGGCGAAAAATACAGAGTGCAGTCGGTTCGCAAAGTAACAATAAACACGTATATATGTACACGTATGTAGGCCAACGAGAGATGTTGCCATCCTCGAAGATTCTCGTGCGGTTTCCTCGCGACGAAAAACACGAAACGCGAATTAATGACGGGAACGCGAGAGAGAGAATATCGTGTGTGAATATCGGGCAAACATGATAGATTAGATTAGTCAGAAGCAGAGGTAACACATCGATAATCAAGATACGTGATTTACCGCCGGTCATCGTCGAATATCAAAATCGCATTTTCGTTTGTTTTACGAACGAATTGATACCGCACGCCTCTGGCACAGATATCGCAAAAAGGAAATGGCAATGAATTCGCAAACAGCGAATGACAAGTTAAAGTTGCATTTTGATATTTCTCACTGCTTAATACAATATTTTTGCACGGATAGATATATGTTAATTTTATATAAACTTTTGAAGAGAAACTGTTCTTTCAAAACCTAGAATTTAATTTCAATGGCATTTTTTTCTTACGCTTTCTTAAGCTATCGAGTTAATTTTTTATATAATAATTTTTTAATATAATAATTTTTACGAACGTTATTATTTGTTACACATTTTTTATATCTAATATTAAACATTCTTTTTATTTAATTATATTAAAAATTAAAAATTTTAAAAATTAAATAAAATTAATTTTCTTTTTTTTAATATAAAAAAATTATTACAAAAGAATATTTTGACTAAAAATGATTCTCATTCACAAATATTTTCATTTTCTTAGAATACAACATTTTTTATTCTAAACTTTTACTGAGCCAACGATCAAATATCTGATGATTGATGTTTCGAAATTCAGAGAATCAAGAAAAGATTAAGATCTATCAACTAAATTGAACTGAATTGAAGGCCGTAGATGATAATTGCTAGATATATAATGATAAATCTGTTTTACTTACAATTAGTATCAATAAATATCTCTCTCGAAACTATCAATTTATATTTATAATACAAATATACAATCAGTATAAAGCATATTCTTTACTGGCTCAAATTTTATTACTGTTCCAGAATTTTTATAAGCTTTTCGCAAATTAATTTTACTATTTTAATATTCTGTGTAAACATTATTAGCTTGATAATTGTCAACTAGCATGCAAAATAAAAAAATAAGATATTACTCACATTCTAAGATTTACGATTGAGTCCATTGAAGATGATCACTTTGCTTGATAAATTTCATCCAAACGGGCATTATACTGTAACAAAAAAATGTAAATGGTTAGATTCATGATAGATAGTTAATTCATTCCGATTGTATATAGTTCAACTTAATTATTAATAAAGCAAAGCATATTGAATAAATTATGATTTTCTTTTGAATCCAAGATATATGCGGGTCTCCGTTATTTAAATAATAAAAAGCTAAAATGGCGTTTCTGACATTTGTTAAAGGTCAACCTTAATGCGTAAGGATGGTTTAAATAAGGAATACGTGAGTCGACGGATTATCCTTTCTATGAAAGGTCCCCTTGATGGATGGATTCGGTGAATTTCAATTGACCATATTTTACGAGTTATTCACGTAGCTGACAGTAACCTCTATCGGGTTTTCTTTTTTCTTGTCATACGCGAGACTGCTCAAAAATACAGACACTAAGAGAATTATAGACATAAATGTGCCGAAAACGATTTCTATTCATGCGTCCGTTGTTTTGAATTGTGAAAAATTTGACAATTCAACGCTTGTCGATTGATCGGGTGATTTTCAAACTTCGTGATGCGGATTAAATTCTACCACTCGTCTTTAACTGCGTTTTATAGCGTTTTGCTCGAAATTTTAACATCTTTTCCTAGTACAGTAAAAAAAAATGTTAAAAAAAAGGATTTAGGGAGAGAACTTCAATCTTTTGATGCAATTTCTCCGGTGCAGAGAACACGTATACGCGAATTTTCGCGGTACGAAAAACTTACTCTAAAATCTCCCTTGCTTAACGTCTATTTGGCATGCCTCCTGCTGTATTTTCGATGCGAATAAGAAGAACGGGCGGTTGCTGGAACGAGAAAATCGGCCAGGGGTGAAATTATTCTCAACACCTGTTCCCGCAGGAAGTAATACGACATATATTTTTATCCAGCCTGCTCGGATAAATCAAGTGCTTGCGAAGAAATAAGATTTTCTCATCTTGCTCTAACTCGAGTTTACTGCTTCGTATACGGTTTGTATCTTAAATTCGATGCCTCTCTGCCGAAAAAAACGATCATTTCATGTAACAATCGTATAAAAATTACACAAAAGTTACACAGACAAATATTCTTCGGTAAAAGGTTGGATTTGCGAATAAACCTTTGCACGAAAACGCTTTTTTTCACGCGGTATTTAAGAGGTTCAAACACCCAGTGTTTTTTTTTTCTCGATCGTAAGATTCGTTGAAGAGACAAGCGAAAGAAGAAGAATAAGATTGAGAATAAGAGAAAAATAGGACAGAGGGTTACTCGATGGAAGGACAGAATCGCAAGCAAAAGTTACGACTGGATAAGAAGCAGTTCGAGAATCGAGTTCGTGCTCGATTTGGCTCTGAAACTTGTATGCGGCGCTACTTTATATATCGCTATAAATATTACACGGAAACTGGAACGTTTTAAAGAAAAAAAAAGGGAAGAAAGAGAAAAACCTCAAAGATTGTCTCTCTCTCTCTTTCTCTCTCTTTACGCCTCTACATGCTCCGGTTTCGTTTCCCTCGAGAGACTGGACAATTTCGTGCTAAGACACGGAATTTATTGCGCTATACTCGCGAGTTTTCTGTTTTATTGCGGAATCTCTTCTTTTCTCGAGACGACGACGGACTCGAACTCCTTTTATCGCGCTGAATATCGCGTTACCTTCGAAATCCGAATTTACCACTGGAAAGCGTCCTTCCCTAGTCGACCGAGCGACCCGAATGTATCCGCGTTATATTTAGTAAATCAATCGTAGCTAGGGATATAGGATGTTCCTTAAGCACATGATAATGTCAAATGGAAACACCGGTATTTTTAAACGTACCAATAATGTTCAATTATTAATTCCCGCGTACATGAAATAGTTATTTATGGAATCAATTATCATTTTTACCACAATATCGTGATATAGAATAGTAATATATGAATTGCTTGACGATTAAGAAAAATACATTGCCGACAAAATGGCGATCGTATATTGTTTTCAATTTTCCGTATTTGCAAGTAGATCAACTTTCAGATAAGTGAACCCCGCCCAAGCATCAAGGAAAATGATTGCAACTATTTTTCGTAAATACTCTTCAGAGCCATTGAAAATACGTTACTCTAATCACTATGTCAAGTTTATAATCTATATGTAAGATAAAGATGATAACATGTGTATGTGAAAGACATATATATTTGAAAAACGATTTAATCTCACAATACCGATATTACGTGATATTCCTTGCAATTTTGTTGCTTGCAACAAGCAGACAATATGTTGCAGTGCACGTGACACGTTATTATTATTACGATTAAATTGTAAAATTATTGCGTTTATTTCAATATTAGAATATTGACAATATTTAGTACATACACATAAGAGTGAAACAGGAAATTATCTCGACTATAATAAAATATCCGCGATACTTTAGAATATTAAAGTTTACGTTTGCAAAACTTACGTTTTCTAAACTTATTTGCAATATATACTCGGTAGAGTAACAGTACAAGCAAGTAAAAATAAAATTCAAGCACACATAATACAATTTCCATGCATGTCTATTTTCATATATGACATCGCACTTTGGAGTTTTCTCTGCATTATAAAAAGTTACTATGATAAAGCAGAGTTTTATATTAAATAAAATTTTGAAAATTTTATTTTTTGAAACATAAACGAAAATATATAACTTGTCGTATGTACACGTCATGTCGAATAGATCGAATAAATAATGTAGTAGATTCTCTTACGTGTATATATTAAATTGGTTGATATCTTGTTTATTTAATTATTGCAGGAAATGAATCAAATAAAAAAATTCATGTCTCTCTCTCTCTCTCTCTTTCAAACACAAATACATACACAAATATATGAAAATATACATGTGTCATATATTTGATATAAACAAGATATTGTGCTGAACATGATCCAATTGGCAGTAAGCCAGAGTGTTATCGATATTTCGTACTATTCATATTTCTTGTTATAATTTATTATATACTATCAACATTATGTATATTGTAAAGCGCCAAATTATTATAAGCTGAAGCTTTGAAAGCTTAGGTTTTTAGATGAAAATAATTAATTGAAGAACAAAAGATAATATCAATGGTGATAATTAATTTCATTTGATTATATGTATATGTACATAATTAATTAAATTAATTAATTTCGAAGAGTACAGTATATCTCTATATAGCCGAAATTCTCCCTCATTACTTTAATTAGAAATGTTTATAATAATTTTCTAACTTTTATTAAAATTGATCTTTTTAATGCTATTAATATTTCTATTATTAATTATATACTTTATTGATTACTAATTTAACATGTTAGGAATTTTAAAACATGCTACAGAAATTCTATTTATGTATTCTGTATACTTGTATGTGCGCGAGTATTATGAAACCTGAATTAATAGCTTGCGATGCAGTATAATAATACTTTCAAAATGAAAATGATAGTAGTTAACAATGCAGTCACGTTTACGCGTGCATAATAAAATAATACAGAACTTATACCTACATTTATACTTTCTTTTATCTTTTCCGTTTGCATTTTACCTCTTTCCTTTCTCGCTCTCCAGCACAGATACTTTATTCAATTTCAAAAAATAAACGACGATGGCGAAAGTTTCGAGTCAGAATAAAGTTACAAAAATTTTGCACTGGATGAGCGAGCATTAAAGATTACGCATTGTAAATGCAAAAAAATATTTATACTGAACTGCGAGAAGCGGTAAGTCCCGGATCATTGCAAAAATTTGTGGGAATTTGTAACGGAAATGTACAATTTTATATATTTTTTAACCATGTATGGCAGGAAATATATAAAGGTCATAAATTCGTATCCAGATATATGGAGCGAGCGTAAAATATATATGTCGCGTAATTTACTTGAAAGCTTGTAATATGTCAGTGCTGTGAATAATCGGCCACAATAATTCGAGATACATTAGGCTCGCAGATAGCCGCGTTTCATTAAAGCGCCTCTTATATCAAATGGACACGCAGAGGCAACCGAAAATCATAACCGCAAATAACAGAATACAATCCACTTTTTCCGCGATTTAACCCCCGTGTCACGCGATAGAATCGTTTGCCTCCGTATTCTTCACAACGTCTTTAGCACAGCAAATTTGCCGGCAATATACACAAGATATCCCGAAACGACTTTTTAATAATAAGTACTTTCTGATGATTTAAAGCCGTTCTTAAGTAAGATGTCAGTTTTTCAAGTTTTTCAAGTTTCACATAACTCTATAATGTAATTTTGAAATTTTATCAAACTTTATACGCGTGTGAATTCTACACAATTAACTCGGAAATGTTTTTGTTACATTCCAGCGTGTATGCGATATGATTACATTTATGAAAACGATGTACCTTGTTTATGGAAAAGTACAATAACATGGTGCAATAACATGGAGTGAGAGAGAGAGAGAGAGGGGGAGAGAATCCGCACCCCTCTCGACGACATACATAGCACGTGCTACTCCCAAACAGGAAGCTGCGCCGAAATGTTACGAAATAAGCATGCGCGTTCATGCTTAATCCACCGATCTGAAATTCGTTGCTGCAACATAATCCGATTTTAATTAATAAGCCGCTCTTATACTTAGGCGTCATGAATCTAGCCTACCCTAGCGTTATCTCTCAAACAGCACGACCTTGTACGCCGATATCGAGACTCGCAGAATCTCGGAGGGGTTAAATTACTCATGAGACCAAACACACAAATGCGCGTTTGCTTGCCGTTATTGCTACGAAAGAAGCTGGAGACGGAAAATCGATAACGCGAATCCGCGCCTAAAGCCACCGAACATCGAACTGCAAGAAGGAGAAACGAGACAAAAATCGTGACAGGGACGTAATTTAACGATATTACATAATATATTCATATTTGCAAGTGCAGTATTATTAACGTATAATTTTACACACGTACATACCTTCTTATTTCTTTCTTAAAGATAAAGGAAAATTACATTTCTTTGCTGGTATGTTTGGAAGACGCGTGTAATTTTAGAAATGCCACTGGAAATGCCATTGATCG